ACAAAAAATATTTAAAAATTAAATAATACTTTTAAATTGTGCTACGCTTTTTTTACATATTCTCTATATAACACATTTTATAATTTTTTTAAATAGTACACCACCGGCTACGTAATACGCTGACTCAAGCACCCAGTGGCAGAGGCAGGATCCTCCTTGATTGAGCGTGGTTTCCAATAACGCGCCTTTTGTAAAGTCTATCTACTTTTTAATAATATTTTAAATGTTTATAAGTATGTTTGTTATAAGGTCTCTCCAGAATGGCTCAAATTCAGTGAATCTCGCTTAAATTTGGCATAGGTGTAAAACGTAGACTGGAAGATTTTTTAAAGGCATATTTTAAAAATTACCAGATATTTTTGACGCAAATTGCATTTATTTTTGCATTGCATACATTTCTTTAAAAGGCTAATTAATAATGCAGTATTGCCATGTGCATACTTGTAATCTGCTATTTTGGTTGGAATGAAACTTATTTATTTGAACCTCCGCGTATAGTTGTTAGTCATGACTATTATAGCACCAATGAAATTATTGCATTTAACATAAAATTTAGATATATTTTTTAAATTATTAATTTTCACTTGGTCATGATTAAAACTTCATCTAAAGGTAGCTTACATATGACGTGAGCATGAGGCCTTATTTAAGTAAAAGGATAAATAAAATTTCTTAAATATATTTAATAATATTTAAAAAATATATTTCACATTTCAAAAAAATCTTAACAAAAAAATAATGCTTTCAAATCCAACACTCACAAGATTCTTAATAATATTTTTTTATCAAATTCTGTTCGTATAAATGTTTTCCAAAAGCTTTTTGGTTAATTTTATATCATTCAAATTTTTCCAACTTTCTGTATTCAAGACTTGTGGATGTTCTTTGATAAATTGAAATATATATTTTTGCATATCTTCTAGTTTATACCTTTCAGATATTATTGCAATATCTATAGCATTATCTATTGTTGTTTGTTTCTTTACAACATCTTGCATAAAAAGAAATAAGCTTCTTAATTCAAATCTACCAGCCATTTCTAGTAGTTGTATGCAATTTTCTTCTGATACATTGTTTATTGTTCCAGTGTAAAAGAATTGTAGTAACAGTTCCAAATCATCATCACAAATGTCCAGAAGTAGTGATTTTTCATTTAAGTTTTTAAGTGTTTTTCTTAGTACTGGACTTTGGGCAATCAAAACAAGTTTGTGAATCTTGTAGACCTTGCCACTTGGTGTCTTAAGCTCAAAATCTTTGCTGCTCTCATTTGATAGTAACTCTCCAAAGTCATGATTAAGTTTGACTCTATTTATAACATTATCCGATACTAAACACTTTGGTTCACATTCTATACTCAAATATATGATCAAAGTTTCATACTTCATTCTCACCGTGTCCATTTCAGTGAAGCAAAAAGTTTTTATATAGTTTATTTCATCACTTTCCACAGCCCTTAATGTCTGCCATGACAATGAACCAGATAACACATTGTTTGTTACAGTCCCAATATTAACTTTATATGTTAATTTATTACTTTTAGTAATTCCTACAGATATGATTCCTGGTTTTCTATGGCACACAAATACATTGAGTAGATACTGGTACCCTGGACATAGAGAGGTGGAACAAAAAAACCATAGATCTGACTCATCTTCAGTATATGTGCCACCAATATCATACTGACCAGGTGTATTTAATTTTGTACCAATATCATATATATATAGTCTTTTAGCCTCTTTTGTTTGACAATTATTCAATGGAGACACATCTCCTTTGTCCATCTGAAAAATTAAATTGCTTGAAGACTAATTAACATAATAAAAAATCTCTATTGCTACAATATGATGTATGTTGTGAAATAATTCAAACTAAATCTTACGACATATATCATTACAGCAATATAGAAAATATTGAGCATTGCGACTTCAATCAATGAATTTAAAAATTACAGATTAGTTTTTAAATTCATTGATTTAGATTATATTTATTGTTAATAACTTTTATTTGTAATTTACCTTTTACAAGTTGTATGTTTTCAGTAAACTATTTTTTTATTTTTAAGGCTGCGATAATAAACATTTAAGTACGATTAGAAGTTCATTTAAATATTACTTTAATTATTCCTTTTTCCTACTTGAAAAAAATACATTTTATAACTTAGATGACTAAAATAAAACTGCCAAAAACAAAATGACACAGCATTGACAGGTGATTGGTGACATATGATGACAGCCAGGTTTTTTTTTAATTTTATGACCTGGTATTCCAAGGTTTACTTCCTTAGGTACTAAGTTATTAATTCCAAAGGTTAATATTTAATAGATACAAATATAAAAAATAAAAGCATTATGAAAATATAAATTTGTAACATATACAGAATTAAATTTAGTCGTGCAAATCGTCAACAATAAGCATAATGCATCTCCATATCACTCATGATCCATTTTACCCGTCCAATGACCAATGTTATACTATGTATAAGGACTTATGGTGTCCTTACATTATGAGAAAAACGAAAGAAATGGACAATGATGTTAATTATACTACTATTTGTGCTGCAGCGTCGATAGTCTTTTTAAAAGTATATTGCAATATTTAATTTGCAGACAGGAGAAAATTAATATATTTCACCACGTCACATTTTAACGAAGCATAGTGTTAAATAAAATAAGTAAAAACATGTAAAAAGGGAGATAAGTTGACCCTGCTACTGGTTGTAGTAGCGGGTAATAGTATTTTGCCATTCAAGGGGACATTAATATAATTTTACAGATTACGGTGCCCCTTGTTTCGACTAGTAGTGATAAAGAAGGAATACTTGAAAATATGAAACCAAATTCAGAAAATAGCCTTACACAAATTGCTTCATTCTTATATGTCATCCACTTCTAATGTGTAATGGTCCTTAAATTATTTGTCGGACTTTAATACTTAGTGCAAAAGTTGTTATTCTTGCTTAATAGGCCAAAACAGATATGTATAAGCAAATCGCACTGCGCATGTGAGCCTGGGGTTCGTTTTGTGCGGCCGGGTAGCGCAGCTCTAGGGATGTGGCAGAACATTTTGGATTAAATAACATTACGGCATAGTCGAGCATTGGTCAAAATATAACAATGTTTTACCAATTTTATAAGATAAAATTGTACAATGGATAACAATAATAAACTCTGTTTAATGATAAATTTATTGTAAACTCGATAGAAACTGGATTAAAATACAAAAAATATATATTTTGCGCCTGGAAAAAATATTAGCAAAATTGTCCTTTGCCAACTACAATAAAGGAATTTTTTTTTGGGCAATTATATAATTTTATCACTATGACCGCAGGATTTGTCTCATCTCAGTCCCGACACTACACTGCAGCTTTTTCAAGGCCACATCTTTCAGTAGGCTGCAAGCAGCCGGCGGTCGCGCACGATGCTTCCCGCGCTATGACGTCGCCACGCGATCGCCGTGACGACGATAATGTCGAATTATTGCCTTTAAAATCTGTGTTAGTGAATAATAATTACAAAGAAGATGAAGCATATTATCCACCGACGCCTGCCTTCCAACCTCATCCGTCGACTTCCAATCTTTATGAGTACACTCTTCTTTCAAAGAGGACGCCGGTCTCAAAACGGTTAGTATTGTCTTTATTTTATGTTATCTAACAAAAGATATTCCTTTTTTATCATTATTTTGTTGCTTAGTAAATAGCTTATTGTATGTATTATCATCGATATACATATTATTGTACATTTAATTCACGCTTATAAACAAAGCATGCAATGAATCCTTCTTGGCTTATTCACTGCGTAAAGGATTAAAAAATGTGTTTTATAAATACATACTTATATATTTTAACGACTTCTCTTTCATTTAGTACTTGATCCAGTGTTGTCTTACACTTTATTGGTTTTAGTTAGTAATTAAGTTATAGTCATAATAACGTCCAAAAATTATTGTATGCTTAAAGTTTTTAGATATTAGACAAACTTGGATGTTATCAGCCGACTATTAATCAAATCCAGCTTTATAGCTGTGATTTACAGTATGTTATGTTTTAAAAATAACAACAATTGTTTGTTTTTGTTAGAATGACGGAGCATCCTGTTTATAAACATGTCATTGAGTACTTAATTTACAGTGGGCTTCCGGGTCCAAAATCTTCGTTTAAAAAACATTGTTATCTCAGTGATGTCAAAGATAATGACAGGAACGACAATATGTTTTATCCAGAGATCTTGGACACAGAAATCAACGGTAAGCAACTCGTTACACCTAATGATAAGGGTGATCGATGTTCGAATATGTTTGCAGTTTACTGCGGGCTTCTCAGCCGGCGCCAACGCCTCTGCTGACGCTCTGCGGAGCGCCGCCGCCGTCCCGTAAGCGCGAGGAGTTAGCTGCACTTGCCAACCTCAGAAAGAAAGTCGCACCCGCCCTCCTACATCACGACAGGTGGGTATCATAACTCGGTATAGCAAAGCAAGGCATAAGCAACACTTCACGATAGTAGACACACACCTGCCCAGTCAAGAGCATAAAACATAATTATCATCCCTCTCATTTCTTTTGATAAAACAAAGATATTTATGTTTTTATTAGGATATTATATCTGTAAAAACTTACAGATTACACTACACACAAGTACCATCTTTGATTAAGGAACATCTAGAATAGAACAATAAAGACGATAGTTTGCCGTAAAACTGGGTGACCTACTTGTAAAATTCAAGTAACACTTACGTAGGACACTAGATGATTAATGTTTTTATATCTTCACTCCCTTATGACAAGGGTGAAAACGAGAGGGAACAATGATATTGAAAATCTTGACATTTCTATCAATTTACTTACTTTCCTTAGGTATACATTTTATATGAAACAAGAAGACGAAACTCGTTTAATAAAATCGTGAACCTATAGTTAACATTTAAAAACTTTCCTAGGAATCAACAATACATTAAATATAATAAAATATACGATATCTTTTTGTTTACGGTCTTATAAATCATATTCGAAGCTACGATAAAAATTAATTATGTCTATAAATAAAATAAAAAATCAACAGGCAACAGTTAACATGTGATCAACCTTGGGGCTCGGAGCATAGCGTGCAGTCAATTGCCACGGAACACGCATCGCAAACTATTAATTACAATAGATTTACTTTACAAGGGTTCAACGGACATTTATATTTACTTATGCATTAAATAAAAAGTTTATAAGTAAATATTTGCTTTGATTTTTAAAATGATAAAAACATTATTAAAACAAAAAAACTTGCTTAAACTGATCAACGATTTAAATTACTTTTGGTTCGTGGTTATTAATTTACGTGCATGAATGTTTGCATGTGATATGAGTACAAATTACATGCACGAAATGGTATATTAGATGATATAAGACGTTGGTAAGATTAAATTACTGATTCTTACCTAAAGTATATAAAAGTGTTGTAGGAAGATTAGGTTTGCGATATTAGGAAGTTTAATTTTATCACCCAAGATAATTATTAAATGTAAAATAGAGAAGATATTTCACGATACCTTTGCTCTGAATACCAACTTGGCATCTGTACCTCTACATCAAGATCGATTCATTTAGATTCAAGGTCAAAATGTTACGAATCACTTCTAAAAAAAATTCTTTTCTACGGATTAAATCATTGGCGAAACGTGAAAGGAAAGTAAAATAGTTCAAGGACGTTAAAACTCAAAAGTTAGACGCTGAATACGAAGTAACGGGTTTGGATAATTCAGTTAGTTAGTGGGTTATTTGTTTTATTTATCGACAATTATTCCTTGTTAATATTACATAGTAATTACTGAGTTTGATGATTTAATAAGAACCATAATGTAAATTTAAAAAGATACAGAATATGAAGCGACCATATGGGTAATGGACAGTGAAAAAGATTTTTATATTAACGCCAGATCGAAATTCTTTATTCCAATGATATATTTGGTATGACAATCATAGTATTTTTTACATACTTATTAATATTATTCAATTTTCAATTAACAGGCATTCAAGAAACGATGACCACTCGAAAGAGGATGCTAAGCCAGAACAGCTCGACAACAGGCCCAAGCTATTACAAAAGGCAAGTCGAAAAAATATACAAAGTTTATTAATGTTTTTTATTTCTTCATGTTTAAGTACGGCGACAACTAGACTTACTATAAGAGTCTTAAAAAACTTAATGAGTATCTATGTGGTTTATACTATATTCTATTTCTTCTATAAGCTATATTCCATATCTGTTCCATATTTCTGAAAGATCTATACAGCCTTTATGGAGATACCTTCTTACAAACATCTAACCAAACATTCGCATTTATTATATTAGGTTATAAGATTAAGTAACTCGATTGAAAGTTTCCAAGACAGCTAACCATGGGATTATAAATAATTATCGCGTTTAGATCTTAGACTTTAGTAGCTTTCTATTGATTCTGTACGCGAACGAAGGACGTGACCCCTTCGCTTGTCCGATAAAAGTCTAACAAGTAATAAAACTTTATTACCACTCTTGAAGCCAATACTACAAATGGTCAATACTATAAATGTCCACTTTATTTACTTTATGTTGTCTCATCACATAAGTATATAAATATAATTAATTTGCTTTTTTACTAGACCAGAATTATTTTACAGTACTAATTTGATAATGATGATGAAAAAAAACATAGAAACGCGAAATGTGGCTGAATGTTTTCAGTTCTGTGACTCAATTAAATTAAAAACAAAGTAAGTGTATTGAACCAAAAAACATGCGTAAAATTACGGAAATACAACAAGGAAATGATGTCAAGTGCCTCGTAAACTCGTAACAAACGTATATTTAATTAACAACATGTTGCTCACAAAAAAATATGGAGTAAGTTAAAGTTGAACGTGCTTTTTTGGTTGCTATTAAAAGGTATATTTAGCGTTATTTTAATATAACAGAGAAACTGCAATTAAATTGGTAGTGACTGTGCGGGAAACTTTTTGTAAATACTAAGTTATTAATTCGACAACTCTTATATTCTTAGTTCGATTGTTTTAAGCATGATTGTAGATACTTGCCTTATCTAGCCATTTTAATGATCGAAAGGTCCTAATGCCTTGAAACTTTGTCAAGGAAATGTAGCAATTAAGAGTACTGAAGTATAGTAACTAATTACGCACTTTATCTCAAGGTTCTTGTTTGGAATCGCGTATAATATGGCAACATCGGAAGTGAAGTGAGATGTCCCTGACCTGTTACACCCAATATTTGGTGACCTTGTCCCTCGCACCCTTGCTCCTCGGCCGAGTCTATTCCGCGGAACGTGATTCCGGCATATTTCCATACACATTCATAACGAAAAAATATATTTCAAGGAGAACGAGGAGATTATGTTCATCGGCTTTTTACTTACTTTTTTATGTTCATCGTAACAATGATTGATGGAATAGTAATTTAGCATAACTTTTATTTAATATTTTATAGCTGTTTATTTTGTGCATATCTAAAATAGATTATTAAGCTCTTTTCAGAAAATCTTTGGAAGTGAAGTCGAGCTATCAGGTTTTAATAATCTCAATTATTTACTTTTAATTAGTTATGTTAAGTACATAACTAATACCTATTTACTTGCTATTATAACATCTGACTGTCAACATTTGTTAGCGTAATCGTTTTCTTATTGACTTGGAACTATTTTTATAACGCTATTTATATAACAGGAAAATGAGGAAGCTTAAAATATACAATGCTTTTACCTTTTTATTGTAACCTGAAAAAGAATTCTTTTGTTATTTGAGCACCGTCTGAAAAATATAAGGAACGTAAAATTTAACGACGTCTATTTATATAGCCAAAATAGACTAAATAAGAAATGAAGTAAAATAAATTATTTTAGAAACTGTAAAACGCCGAATGGTCGTAGACTTTATTAGTATAAGAATACGAGTTTTCCTTTAAAAACAAGTCTTACTGAAGCAATATACATAGAGTTAACAAAGTTTTAACGTCGTTACCAATCTGTTGCAATTTGGGTCGAAAACTAAACCTGTTCAATGAAGTTTGTAGAGAGAACTAGGAACGTATAGTTCCTAATGTATATAAGCTTCAAGTGAAATGGTATAAAGTTTGAAATGAGCACTATTTACTTGATATCTTTGATAAAAAAAAAACTCAATATTAAAGCTATTACTCTTTATAAGATACTAGCTGTCGACCGAGACTCCGTCCGCCTGGAATGAAAAAAAAAACTTAATTAGTTCCCCGCAGTTATTCGAATTTGTCTCACCTTTTAAACCTTCTCTAGACCTTTACAAACATTTCAAGACCAAGTTTTAGCGAGACTAATAAACAGCATTTTTTTAAATATATATTATGCATGGGGGCTTGGTAGTGCCCCCGCTAGGGCGAGCTTATTACGGTGAAATACTATGACTTATACGTATTAAATGTTGTACAGCGATATTGCAAAAGGTTATATAACTTTGTAAGCAAATTTCAAATACTTTGACCTTCGCATGTAAGAGTTATCAATTTCACGATTTATGTATTTTACGTGGTAACTAAATGGAGAATTAATTAATAAAGTTTGTGTTTTAACAGTTTCGATTGAACATTCTGACTCTGATACATGATCAGTTTGTTTTTAAAATTAAATAAATTAATTAAAAGGTATAAAATTCATTCAAGCCAAATTTTATATTGTGCGGCTTTTTCTACGGCTATTTTTCCATTGTCGTAAAAGTTAATATACATTGTCGTCCCTTTTTTCTCAAATACAGGAGCCACTGCAGTAGAATTTTACGTTAAAGACCCATCTGGACGGAGAGAGTTTCTCTTAAAATACGTGCAAGAACTAAAGTCTCTTCTACGAGTCACTAAATTCAGTCCTAAAGGCCCTTTATGTTATAAGTTTCACTTCATAAAACTGGCATTGGCATAAAATATGACAAAGCAACTATTGCTGCGAGCTCAATGTCGTAGCAACTGCTTGAATTAACATACGACCTTAATAGTAAATGTACCAGTTCGAAAACAATAGAATATAGAGTACCGTAATATCGCTTTACTTTTTTCAATATTTAGTTGAAATTGGATATAAATAAAATATCCCAAAAGATATGAAATTATTTTTGCAATATAAATATACTGTCTGATTCAATTTATACGATGTTAAAGTTACGTAATTTTGTTGTGAATTTTATTGTTTCTGATAAAAAAGTGATATAGTTGGACGAATGCCAATTTCTTTTGTGGACAAATCAATAGGTTGAAATCTGGAAAATGTCAAAGTAACTTGGCAGTATGGTGGTATTTTTAATTGATTGAAACAAGTTGCCGGCAACTTGTTTCAATGCTACTATCGGTTTCCTAAGACAGAGAAAAATTATTATAAATAATAAAACCAAATGTTTTGTTAAGATGTCGATTACGGTTATGACAAGTCGTAGCTTTCATATCTACGAGTAGCCTACGCATCTACGGATAACCTACACTTGTGCTACGTAACTACTACAATTTTGCTACGCGATTGCTACCCTACCTTTGTAGTACGATTTTATTTGAATTCTTCTTTTGTTTATTTCATAGAAATTATTTTTCTTCCACAATCTGGATATTGTTGTTATTCTAATATTAAAACCACCAACATTCATATTTACAGAATTTTAATATCGGATATTTTTTAACAATGCAAATATAACAATACCACAGTAACTTACGTTGCACGGTTCACTTTAATAGATCATTTGTTCAGATAAAAATATTGTACTCTACAGTGGAGTAACTCCTAATGAAGATACTTAGTTTTTTTTTTATAAATGTACTATAGTTAGTTGTTTTTTTTAATATTTAAGTAATCAAAATAGACTTGAAATTTATGTCACGATATGTTAATATTTCACGGTTAAATGGAAGCAATTAATAATAGAAATGAATGCTCTATTTTGCAAAATAATCATAATGCGTGAATACAATAAAATGGAGTAGATATGAGCTGCGAAGTGTAACTCTTTAAAATATAACAAAAATCGTGCTTAAATGATGCGTTATTAATAACTTAATAATAAATAATATTGCATGTTACATGACTATATTTTAAGTAAAAGAAACTTAAGGAAAATTGAATTTTATTTAATAACGGTGGAATTTCATATCGAAATGGAAGTCAAAAAAGTACCAGTCAAATATTAAAATTGCTACTGTTCCTAACGACTGTACGAATGTTACGTAAACGTTGATCTAGCGAAATAAAAAACAAAATGCGAAAAAATAACCTTTGATATTTGAAAACTTCGAATATCTACTGCAGGTTCGTCTTGTTATGCAATCAACTTTTTGACGGAATTAACAACATATAATAACTTTTTTTAACTTATTGACAGGGTTGGCAAAACGATTTCATAAAAGTACTTACGTTGACTATCAACGGTTGACATTGACAGCTGTTGCCGCGTGTTTTTTATGCGTCAAATTAAAATATTACATCATTAGGAAAAATAACCTCTTACAGACAAATCTAAAGTTTTATTTTAATACTAGCCGCCGCCCGCGACTACGTTAGCTAGGAAATTAAAAAAAGTTGCCTAGTCAAATCACTTCAAAGTCCAGCTCAAAGAGTATAATAAGTATACTATAGAAAGAGGGGCAACTCGCACGAAGTCGTGGATCCACGGCGATTGTGGCGCTCCATGCGTATAATCGCTGAACTAATTTTTTTTTTTTTTGGTACCTGTATACGTAGGCAGGCTTATTTAGCTCACTATAATAATAACTAATAAGTGGGAATCTAATAAATAAAGTTAAAATTGACATTAAATCAGTGTTCAAAAATAATATACCCACTTATGTTCAGTCGCTTTCTGTCAGTGAGTCATTACAGACGTTGTCGAAGCGCGCATAATTATTTACAAGTACCCGCGGTAGTGTATTAAATTTTTGAAGCAAAAATGGTTAAGTGTGTAAAATGTAATAAACTGGTAACCAAGAAGTGCCCAGGATTGCAGTGCGCTCAGTGTATGAAATGGATTCACGGGGTATGCGCCGACCTGTCCCCTGAGCAGCTCAACATGCTGTTTAAAACCGACTACGCGGAGTGGAAGTGCAGTTCGTGC